CACAAACACACACACACACACACACACACAATGTATGTGCAGAGTTTGACCCTTGAAGGCTGTTTCTTCTGCTCTGAAATTGAATATATTTGTTACATATTAATATAATTTTAGATGTTTTGATTTTGTGAATGGGAGAAGTAGATGGAAAACATACCAAACACTAATTATTCAAAGTAAAGTATTTTATTTTATATACGGTAATACTAAGGAGGCATAGGCCTATATGATGATATAATGTTTGACATTATTGATATGAAAACAGTGATTTGTTTTTCTTATCAGAAAGTGAAGTTATTTATTTGTAAGCTCCAAATCCAAATGTTTCCCTCAATGGCCTTTGTGCCCTGGCATGTGGCCTTTGCGCCCTGAAAAAATGTGTGACACCAAAGGCCAAATGGCCTTGCCCCTAAAATGACGAAATTCCAAGCCTGCGCTGCATATCATATGTTCTAATGACTTTTTACTTTCTTCAAGAAAAGTATTCACTCCTTTCTTCAGTCTATCAGGATGTTGTGCAAGTGCCTGAGTGGACATATGAGTGTGTGAGGAGTGGAGGATATTACACACTCCTAAAAGCAGAACTGCCTCAGAACCTTCTGAGTGCAGTGTGAGTGCAACAGGCCAGTGACACGGTAAGTCCAAATATCAGATAAATCACATTTTAAGATTAAAACCTGTAAATAGATTTATGAGATAATTCAATTTAAATCATGTTCAATTCTAATGCTCTGTTATGACATAAGGGATAGTTTTGTTTAGCTGTAGTTTACCACATTATTGCTTCGTTCCTAAAGTTTATATTTGCTTAAAATGTAGGGAGAGTGGGGTAAGTTGAGCCATTTTGTAGTTATGCTGTCCTCTAAGCAAGGAGAAATTACACATAGTCAAAATGAAAACACACACCTATAATTCAGGATGTCTCCTATCAATGGCAATGATAAGAATTTATATTTGATCAAGAGCAGTGAAAATATTACTTCTTTAAAAAAAAAAGTCTTGTGGCTCAACTTGCCCCGGGTTAGGGGTAAGTTGATCCAGGTCAGGGAGTAAATTGAACCACGGTTCAAACCTGCATACCTACAACACATCTTAAAACATTATAAACAATAAATAACAAACCAAATACAAGCTTAGTTTTTCAAATATTTTTAATATAAATTTTGATTGAATTCATTAATGTTAAAAGGAAAAGTAATCATGCAAATGGTGATACAATGTCATACATCAATCAAACACAGATTAAATTCAGAGCCATCTTTAGCTTAATGACTCACATGGTTTAATACGCTGCCAACACATCAACATCTACAACATATGTGTTTAAACCTTGATACCTTTTTTTTTACATGACAGCCGATATAGCTGACATCTGGAAAATGTATTTTGACAAGCAAATGTTTACCAGACCACAATGAGTATTGCATAATATTTGGTCACTTGATTACAACTATAAGGCGTTGCCTGGTTACAGGGAGTGGCTCAACTTACCCCCTTCTCCCCTACATGTTGTTGTCCTTTTTTTTATTATGTTAAATTCAGCATGATAAAAACGTGATAAAGCTGAATTCTGATGTCTTTATAATGCATACAAATGCTAAGAAAAGAGAAGAGAGAATTTATACCACATTTTATTTCCATCTTTAAACAACTTTTTTCCCCCTAATTCCCAGCTCTACCCAGCCATGGATTATTCCTTCGAAGACAACGAATTTATCAGTGATTCCCAAGATTATGATTCTAACTACCCACACCCCGGTTCATATGATTCTAACTACACACTGCCATCGTTCGATAACTCTCCGACGCCTGAGATTCAACCGATCCAGATCGCGTCTCTGGTTTTCTACGGCCTGGTGGTCCTGCTGGGGGTCCCCGGGAACGCTATGGTGGTCTGGGTGACGGGCTTCTGCATGCCCCGCTCCGTCACCTCCCTCTGGTTTCTCAACCTGGCGCTGGCGGACCTCCTGTGCTGCCTCTCGCTGCCGCTGCTCATGGTGCCTCTGGCCCATGACGACCACTGGCACTTCGGATCCCTGGCCTGCACCTTGGTGAAAGGCCTGTTTTACCTGGTGATGCACTGCAGCGTCCTGCAGCTGGTTCTGATCAGCGTGGACCGCTGGATGCTGGTCAGCAGGCCCGTGTGGTGTCAGAACAAAAGGCGGCCCAAACAGGCTGCTCTGGGCTGTGTGGCTGTGTGGGTTCTGGCGCTGATCGGCAGCATCCCCCAGTTTGTCTACACCAAGCAGATCGAGGTGGGTGAGGAGAAGCGAGAGTGCGTCACGGTGTACTCTCAGCTCAGCGCCAAGCTCGTCATCTCCTACCGCTTCCTGGTTGGATTCCTGCTCCCCTTCCTGGTGATCGTGGCCTGTCACCTGGTGGTTTACAGCCGGGCGGAGAGCGGGGTCTCTCGGAGTCGGACCCGGTCCATGCGGACGCTGAGGGTCATTGTTGTGGTGGTGCTGAGCTTCTTCCTGTGCTGGCTGCCGCTGCACATCGTGGACTTCATGGTGCTGGTGACCAAGCGTAGCTCCCCTCACAGTCCCAAGCTGTACCTGGCGCAGGTGTTCTCGCTGTGTCTGGCTTACTTCAACAGCTGCCTCAACCCGCTGCTCTACGTGTGTCTGGGTCGGGGGTTCAAAGACAGCATGAACCGCTCGCTGCGCAACATGCTGCACTTCATCAGCGAGGAGCCGGCGTCCAGGATGAGCATCACCAACAACGACACCAAGAGCTCCTCATATGTGAAGGACACAACTCAAATCTGAGGCTGTTCTCACGCAGTTAGCTACTTTGAAGAAAAGTGTTATATACCCATGACCAAGAGTAAGGGAGACTAGGGCGGTTGCAACCCTTTTGGATTATTCTAAAATAATGTTTGGTCTAGAGTGACCACATTTTGATATATTAAATGTACAGCTGTCTGCTAGTTAGCCATACAATCTTACCCTTACCCCACATTGATATACTGTGTTTTTTGCTATTCTGATATAAGTGTTTCTATCCAACTGGGTACGGGTGCAACACCTTTGAGTTATTTTTGTCTAGAGTAACCACATTTTAATATATTAAAGTCTATCTGTCTGATAGATAGCCATACATGTTAAAGATGATTACATATGACATTCACAACAATTTAACATAAATAGTTTACGATATTTATTTGAATGGAAGAAGTCAGATGTCATGCGAAATCCCCCTCAGGCCCAATCTTTACCTGAGCAGGTGTTAGCACTTCCTATACAGTTATTCCCAAGATATCAACAAATGTTATTTCATCAAGTGTCTCATACCAAACGAGGATTTATATTTTGAAATGACTTACTTCGTACTCCATAGATCATTTGACCATTTAGTAAAGTAAAATTGCATTTCACTATTTAACTTCTGATGTTCTGCCTTAATGAGCATACTATTCTTAACATATCTACAATCATGTTAGTTTTATTTATCTGCCCTGCTCCCTGAAACACTTTCCTTGAAACATACGCGTCCAATGACTTCAGCTTGAAGAACAACATGAAGTGAAAACACCAACGTTGCAGTTTTCTCAGCTAATTTTGGAGAAGGGTTTTTGCTGATGCAGTTGAATGATGCGTCTATAAATTGTCATTGTCAAAATTAGAAATGAAGGAACAATTTGGCAATCTGCAATATTCCCTGTGTACATTCATGTCATGCAACAAAAACACTTCTGTATTTCGCTCCAATTGGATGTATTTTTGGCCATTTCTATTAAGAATGTACAACATGTCTGATCTCTGGATTACTTTTTGTTTGATGTAATTCAAGTTTGTTGTAAAGAAAACACGTTTCATATATATTTGTATAGTTCTTGTTGTTGTATTGTCTAGCAGGAACCTGCAATGACCACCAGAGGGAGCTACTCTCTAGATATCTGATTTCCAGTGGCTTATGCACATATATGTTCACATTCATGCAGTAGCAGCACCACTTGCTCTAGGGAAGCTCACACACACACACACACACACACACACACACACACACACACACACACACACACACACACACACAATTGATCTTAATTGATGATGTTTACATTCAACTGTCTGTACCATTTCCAAATAAACAACACAACAAAATGTGTTCAAATTAAGAGCAAAGTTGCCTTTATTTACAAACTACATTCATTCCAAACAAGGCCACATGATGGTATATACAAAAGCATACATATTTACAAGACTGTCCCTGTGTTTCAATGAATCTGTGCACTTGTACATACTGTGTGTGCACGCATGCATGGACACTGGTCCCTTATATGGCTTCTGTTTAACCCATGACTGTCTCTCTGATGCTGATTGGCTGCTGCAGGTCCATTTGCAAAGAGTGCCTCAAACAAAAGGGATGTTTTTCTATAAGATGCTGGACACAAGGTTTGGTGATTCGTGGCTAAATAAAGATAGGTGGTACACTCCAGTTAAGTCTAATTCATCGGTTGCCTAACCATTCAAAAGTGTTGTTTCTGTTAATAAGCACTAAGGTTTAAATGACGCTGTTACTTTGATTAGTACCACATTGGTTCGACCCGTTTTAATCGCCTTAAAACCCTTTTGAGTACTTATTTCTAAGTTTAGCAAGACATGAAGCGTTTGTACCCATTAGCCATTGACCACAAATCTATTCTTAATTACGTTAAAAGGCCAACAGACATCAGGAATAGCTGGCAGTGTATTCAGTCCCTTAGAGTTGAAGTAAACACATCGTGACTCAGCAATTATCATCAATTAGAGCAGGAAAATGCCCATTAGTGTCTGAAGCGTTGTCAGCTACAAGATAAATTAAACCAGATGCCTTTTTGAGGCGGAAACTCTGTAGTGTTATTGGTCTGTTTTCCTCTGAGCTACATATTTTCTGACCGTTGATTTTGAACAAGCAATCAGATGTTTATATGCATCCTGGCTACCGCTGTCTACCACAAACACATAGATATAACTGTTAGAGTCCAACAGAAGGGATCCCGGTTCAAGTTAAACACTAGGTAGTTTATCATTCTCCCTCCTTTCCTTCTTGGCCCCTTCTGTTAATGGCGCACGCTGAGTAGAGATATATAATATACTGTCATTAGAGGTAGGTACATTTCATGATTCATGACAAAATGAAGCAGCTACACCGGTGCTCTAAACAAAGCTGTACAGCCAGAACACTGAACAAAATTAAAACGTTGGCTTTAACTATAAGTATTATGTCAACAGATTCAAGCCAACGTTTCAATTAATTCAGTGTAGAAACAGGTGTGTGTGTGTGTGTGTGTGTGTGTGTGTGTGTGTGTGTGTGTGTGTGTGTGTGTGTGTGTGTGTGTGTGTGTGTGTGTGTGTGTGTGTATGTGTGTGTACCCGTTACAACCTAGATTGCAGGATTAGGGGTTGAATGTTATGTTTCTCTGTTGTTAATCAGTGTTGTTTTGTTTGTGTTTGTTACATGAGCCCTATGAGGAAGCATTTGTCTGTATATCTAGAAAAAGCAAACACACACACACACACACACACACACACACACACACACACACACACACACACACACA